GGAAGAGGCGACTGGAGCCACTGTGTTCTTAGCACAAAGCCCCAGCAGAGGAACACGGTTGACTGTGGAATCTTCATGCTTTATTACGTGGAGGAAGTTGCAAAATGCATAGTGAAGGAGACATACATGTTTTTGTCGAAGCCCACCTTAATTAAGTCAAAGTTAAAGACGCGGACAACTAGCGGCTTCAATGCAAAAGAGGCGATAAATTCCGACAAGAGTACTATCGCAGAATTGAAGAAGCATCTGAAGAGTCCTACAAACACTACAAGTCGTCGTGATGAGGCAGTTTTAGTATTATCGTGCTTGTTACTAAAGCTTCAGTCTTTTTAACGAAACCTTTTATTCTACTTCGAAGTATTAGATTACAATGTAGCTTAATGCACTCTCAATGATGGCTGAGCACATTTGGGGGCGTTTAACCCGCTCTTTCGGGCTTATATACATCAATTATCACGTCCTAACGCTTCATAAACCACGTGGGCAGTGTCAATATCAGTCTTGTGTAGTCTGCGGGTCTGGCTGCTCGCCCCGAAGCAGCCTGCAGTGCTCACACAGCCGCTTGAAAAGCTCTTGCAGAACAAAAGATGGTGTGTGTGGTCCACGCATAACCAGTTAGTGGGCCATGACCATCGTGTGTTGTCGGCAGCTCCGACACGTCGCAAGTAACGTTCGTCTGCAGCGCTCACGCAGCAGATTTAGCGTAAATCTCTGGTTTTGCCACAACAGAGAAAGCGTGTGTGTGGTCCACACACAGGAGCATGAAGCGGGATATACTGTATGTCAATGTTACATGTGCACAGACTATGTGTGTACACTGGCGCCCAGTACCTGTGTCTATTGATGTGTCTATTGGTGTCCTTTACTCCTTTTTCATGCAAATCGTCAAATACCGTAGCCTTTAATTAAAAATGGGGATACCCCACACAGCCTTAAATTAGATCACACAAGAGCGGGCCAATTGCTCGATGGTTGGTAAAATTGGCAGCTTGGCCGGGAAATGGTGTATAATTCTGGGTACTTTGAAATAGCGTGTTCAAAAAGGCGTCGAGCCGCAGATAGAGTCAGAGTGGTACACTGAAGTGTCTTGGTGACCGACTCAAAATAAGTCCGGTCCCTAAGCAGTGAGGTGACACGGATGGTTTCCGAACGATTTAGGAAAAGTGACTCCAGCTCTGAAACCGCGACGGTATCGTCATCAAGCAAGCGAAGTATCGACTGCTCAGCATAGCGGTGCAGTGTCTTATAGGTACTCCACCAGTGAGTATCGCTGCAAGCAATTGGTGCTCAGCTCGTGTGGGTGCGGATGAGCGCTCTCCTCATCACCGTGCTGAGCTTCTTCATGAACTTGTGAGCTATGTCGATTAGACCTTCAGCACGTTGCATGAAATCATTCACTGCTAGGGCGAACCGATGGCTAGCACACCTGATTTGCAGGATAGCGCCAACGCGACGCGTTGTACCCAGATTGACCGAGCGGTTTTTACCTATCATGAAGGCATATCGCCTCCCATGGCTACTCGTAGCGCGACAAAGTGTCCACTATTAGATCATCGATACTTTGTGCTCTAAAGTCGCCTTCATCTTCTATCGGGCAAAAGGCCAGCAAGATGAACCGGCGAGAGTTGCATTACCGGTCGTCGTGATAGTCACTCTTGAGAGGGGGTTCAGTGCCATCCGGATCATCAAAGACGGTGTAGATAGCGATGAGGTGTCGACCGCCGCTTGTTCCTCCGTCCAGGAAATACCGTAGCGCTTAGGCAGAATCTCAACGATGCCTGACACGACTCCAGCGACCATTTCGTCTAGTTACAGCTTTATCGTCCTAGCGCAGGCGCGTGGAAGGTGGTTTTCCGTCAGACCATTTCCTGCTCACAAAAAGCGAGGCGTAGGCAGTCCATAACAGTCCACTATATCCACTGGAACAGGATGGTCGTGGCCCAGTCAACAAGACTCCGCAAGAGGAGGTTCGGCGCTCGAAGTGCAGCTTCGGCGTCGACTTCATAGGTAGGATGGTAGCGCTTAAGGTGCTTGGCTACGTTGGTGAGGCCATTACAGTAATCACTCTTGAATCCGGTACTACTTAATTAAAATATCCTAAACCGAACGATACGATCATTTTAGAGAGGTATAACCTTCCGGGATTTGGCCTCCAAGCCAGTCATCTCGAGCCGCCCGGCAGTCCGCCGACCCTGACGCTGTTGGAGCTGGCCGTCAAAAGCTGCAGGAGCTAACTGATCTGTACATCACCGAAAATATCTATGATATGGTACGGACGCCCTTCCCGCGCTGTTTTTTGGGTCGTGCGAAGCAGCCCTACTGCTTCAAGAAACGCACTGCAAAGGAGCTGGGTTTTAACTATTGGGCCAACAAGAAGGCCTGGATAACGATAGAAAACTGCTTTCGCCACACAGGGATAGATTTCAATGGAGTGAAGGGGGACAATAGTGAGGCTGAGTTCTCCAGCTACGGAGGTGATGCCACAATAGAGGACATCATAGTCCGCGCTTCGCAGTTGAGCTCGTACAGCAGTAGGTACATTTATTTTCACGTAGAAACCTCTTAAACTACATTTCAACTTGTAAGACAGGGTCGGACCACGTTACCGGAAGTGAGAGAGATCGCTGTAACAGACTTGGTGGTCTTAGAGCAGCTGTACAGCTGTACAGCCCAGGTGTTTTCTGAGTAGTGATGGTGCGGACATGAAGGCGAGTTTCGAGGGGCATGCGAAATTTCAGAATGAACTTAGCTACCGGAATTTCTAAGTGCTTAGCAGCGGCGTCTTCGGCGTCCATGCAGTGCTTCTGACAACTGCAAATCACTATTGGAGAAGACAAGAAACGTAGCACAGTACTTTACAAACTCACTAATACAGTGCCTGCCAAATCATTAAGACTCCCGATTTGGCGGGACGCTTCTGACAATATCTCGGCTTCTAGCCTGAGTTGGGAGCTGCTACTTTGATATGTTCTCTCTATTAGGCTTACAGAGGTGCCACTTGTGTTAACAACTTATATTTCTATGTATCTGATAGGGCTGGTTTACAAATTCAAGGTTTGGGCATCAGCGTCAAATTATTAAGACCACATCCTTTTTATGACGAAAAAAAAACACTTTTATGAACTGACCTTACAAATTTCTATATTAAAAGAGTGATGGTCAAAATAAGTAGTTGGTTGGCGGAAATGAGCGGGTAGCTAGACGCTACGGAGGCTGTGAGCCTTTCATTTTCTAATGGGCCACGGCAAGATCCTCTGCCAACAAGAGCACTGGTTTATCGTCGGTCTCCACGACGGAGGCGTCTTTCTGCACGAGATCGCTAGATAGACAGGTCGGTCCCGTACGTCCGTCCGGAATGCAGTCAAGGCGGAGCGGGGACGGAAGGAAGACAGCGGTGGAGAGCGAAGGGCTGGGCGGCAACCAGCACTGACGGAGCGAGAACTGCAGCAGCTTGTGCGTGCCGCGGCGACAGGTGAGTTCTTTGCTGCGGAGCTCAAGACCAAGTTCGGCATCAAGGCGTCCGTGAGGACGATCCAGCGGGTTCTGCAGCGTGTGGACCATCTGGTTTACACCAAGATGGACCGCACGCTTCCCCTCACGTCAGCGCACAAGGCTGCCCGCATGCAATGGGCGGAAGAGTACATACTGAAGCCATGTAAGCCGTTCATATTCAAGTTTTGCTGCAATTTTGTACTATAACAATATTTAATTTTTTAGAAACTTGGATTTACACTATTCTTTCAGATGAAAATGAGTTTAATCTATATGGTGGTGTGGGGCCGCTTTTAGCGCAGCAGCTAAGAGTGAGCTGGCCATCTTGCGTGGACGTCAGAATTCAGGTGACTATATTTGTAGGTTATCTGAATATCTACTCCCTTTTGCTCACGCTAACTATGGTGCTGGCTTTGTATTTCAGCAAGACAATTCTCCCATACATGCCTCGCATGAAACGAAACAATTCTTGTTGGAGATGCAGCTCAACACCATGACTTGGCCAGCTCGCTCACCTGACTGCAACCCCATCGAAAACGTCTGGTCGGCGATGGCGGCCAAGGTGTATTCACATGGCCGCCAGTACCAAAACATTGCTGATCTGGAGGCAGCAATCATGGCTGCATGGGACTCCATTCAGCTAGACTACTTGCTGAAGCTAATAGAGTCCATGTCTCGCCGCTGTCTAGCGGTGATCAAGAAGACAGGTGGTCTGACTAAGTAATAATTTTTAACATAGAAATTTGTAAGGTCTGTTCATAGAAGTGTTTTTTTTTCGTCATAAAAAGGATGTGGTCTTAATAATTTGACGCTGATGCCCAAACCTTGAATTTGTAAACAAGCCCTATCAGATACATAGAAATATAAGTTGTTAGCACAAGTGGCACCATTGTAAGCTTAATAGAGAGAACATATCAAAGTAGCAGCTCCCAACTCAGGCTAGAAGCCGAGATATTGTCAGAAGTGTCCCCCCAAATCGGGGGTCTTAATGATTTGGCGGGCACTGTATGCCCGCAGCTGTAAATATTGGGGTCCAGCTCAAAATGAAATTTAAGACTCAAAATTAATAACTAAACTTAAAAAATTCCAATGCTTTTTTTCTAATGTATTTACATTTTGAGTGCATGTACCTTGCCTACCGGTAAGGAGTCCTATGATTTGTCCTGTTTTCTCGGCCAACGATCCTCAACCCGGCGTCACGAGCAACGATACATGTACAGCGGGTGTGAGGCGGTTTACATGGATAAATAGCACCTTGTGGGTTGGGTGTGCACAATGGAAACAGTGACTGGACAGACCCTGACTCTAGCCAGATGCTTTGCAGACTCAGCGCGGAGCTCAATTGGCGATGGTGCGAGGAAAGTCTCCATTATTATTTGATTGGCAGCCAGCGTTGAACACTCGCCGACGCCCGTGTTGCGTTAGGTACATTTCCGAGTACTACTGGACACCACACCTACTGCATTCAGCGAACGCGTTCTGCGTGGCGACTTTGTCCCGAATTGTGAATGGATGATTCGACTCACTACGACTGGACTCTTACGTATGTGATTGTGTTGGCAGTGGCCACAGCCACAACGGGTACGACGTTGCTGCTCTCTTTCAAGCACATTAAGGTCGGCGACTCGGCTGTGCAGTACATCACGTACTCAGTGAGTCGCCTGTACTTCATCTACTCGTTTGCGCGGCTGCTGCTTTACGTGGGTGTATTCAGTAATTTTGACGGATTGCGGGACACTCTGGACGCACTGGATGATGGAGAATTAATGGGAGCGCGTGCAATTTATTCAGACGGCAAGGAGTTCAAAGCTCTAGCTGTTGCGGTCACCATGATCGGAGACTGTGCCCTACTGTGTACGGCATTTTTCATCACAACGTTGGCCTACGAAATGAAGCGCCTGATTATCAAGTCCATGGACCGCGGACCCAAACGCGAGCGTGCCATCATTAGCCAGTACCGGCTCCGTGCGTCGGTTATGACGGTAATTTTCGCTATATTGATGGCGGTATCTGCCCTCCTGCCATCGGCCAAATCGAAGGTGTTGCAAACTGCTGCCTTTTGGTTTGAACTGGTCTTCATCTGGGTTTCTGTACTGTACCCTTTGTACGCTACAATATGGATCTCACGCCAAAAACGCGCTCGAAGTGCGGTGGACTCAGCGTCACTATTGCTCCACCAACGCATCAAGACGTTCGTTATCGTTTACTGTGTACTGGCGTTCCCTTCCTGTGTAGTGGAGGTACTGCTTCGCCTTATCGATGACCTCGCGATGGAATGGGTCGGTCTGACTCGGATTCTCTTCTACCTGTCCGGGGCAGGCACAGCATTTGCCATCGGTATCAGTGTTACGTGCTGCTATCGTGCTTTGCGTCCTCTGATGCCTTCCTCGGTGTACGAACAGCTTCTGGAAGGTGGCTATTTTCAGGATGATCTGGAGATGGACGTGATCGTGGAAGCTCCTACCCGTCGACCGGTCTTCGTGGTCACCGACATTGAAGGCTCCAGTCGACTTTGGGCCGACAACCCGCAGGCCATGGCCGATGCGCAATCAATTCATGACGACTTGTTACGTCAACAACTGCCTCGATTTCGAGGCTACGAGATCACAACGGCGGGTGATTCCTTTCAGCTAGCGTTCCATTGTGTCCGGGACGCCATCGGCTGGTGTGTCAGCGTACAAGAGAAGCTGCTGAAGGCGCCGTGGCCGTCAGCGTTGCTCAAATACGACAACGCAGCGCGAGTGTACGATATCTGGACGCGACTTCTTTTCAACGGACTTCGAGTGCGCATGGCAATCCACGACGGCGACGAACGGTTGGTGTGCTCGAGGCATCCGACCACAGGCAAGATGACCTATCTGGGACTCAGCGAGATGATGGCGCGCGAGATGAGCGAGATGGGGCAAGGCGGACAGATCGTCATGAGCGAATCGGCTCTTGCAGTCTACAAGGACGAGCTGCTGCAGACGTCGCCAAGTGGTGGAACGGCCGAAGAGAAGCTCAAAGTGCAGCCGTTCCCGACAAAGTTCGAGCAGCCGGAATGGGGAATTTCGCTCCAAATGCACGAGGTGGTGTCCACTCGAATAGGAGACCGCTTCCACTCTCGATATAGCGAGAGACTGCGGTTCCTGCCGCACTTCTGGAGTGACGATGCGTCCACACGCACCCGTCGCGACAAAACAGACAGGACATGTCCACCCAGGTCGTGTTGAAGAGGTATTGCATATCACTAACGTACATTACTACAGAGTAAACTGGATTATTACTAAACAAAGCTTCTCGAAAAAATTGAATTATTTTATCCCTAACAGAAAAAGGTTTGTTTTCAGTTCTTGTAAATTCCACTAACTTTTCTGTACTTAACCTATTCTACGTGTCGACGTATCGCTACCATGCGGCCATCCCTCTACGCTACGTCGGACTATCGAATTCCTTCCGCCCGGTATCAAGCTTATCAATTTGTCTCTGTGTGCACCGCTACTGACCTTTTGCAAGTTTGATGCGGCGTCGGGACAGCGACTTAATGTCGCTGGTGCGTCCGCCGCGTTCCTCGCGTCTCAGTTACAGCTACAGCCAATGCAGCAGTCGCAGTCGTAGCGGCAGCATGGAGAGCGACGTGCGTTGGTCGGAACGGGCTTCCAGTATCGCCCCCAGTGACTTCGACGGCTCTGAACTTCTGGACGTGGATGATTTACAGCTGCTACAGCATCAGAACGCTAGTGACGGACGGGAGACTGTGCGCGTCACGGTCCGGTTCCGTCCGTTGCTGCCTAAGGAGAAGAGCAGTCGGTCTGCATGTACTGTGCACGCAGAGACCGGTACCGTCGAGGCAGCGTCAGTATCGGGACAGAATGCTCGACGTAGAGGCGTCTACGCCTTTTGATGAGGTGTACGACGCACAGCACTCTACTAGAGCCATTTATGACGGACTGGCGAGGTCTATCGCTCGCTCGGCGTTGGACGGAATCCACGGGTCCATTTTTGCCTACGGACAGACCAGTAGTGGCAAAACGTATACAATGCAGGGTACAGGACTGAGAAACAGGAGACTGACGCTCGTACAGGAGAAAAACGTCGAGACAGAGGAGGATAGAAGACCCGAAGACAGCGACGGACTGGTGCAGCTGGCAGTCAAAGATTTATTTGACGAGATGGCGAGACGATCGGATGTCGAGTACCTCGTGAGAGTGTCATACTTGGAAGTATACAATGAGACTGTCAAGGACTTATTGGCAGCTGGATCTACTACAGCTACGGGCAAGAGGAGAGACTCGACTGTGCATATTCGCGAACATCCGGTCACTGGAGTGTTTACGGACAACTCGGAGCGTGTGGTCACGGACGCGCGTGGAGTGCTACAGGCGCTACGTGATGGCGAGAAGCAGCGAGCAGTGGGCGTCACTCGTATGAACGAGCGGAGTAGTCGATCTCACTCGATTTTCAGAGTAGTTATCGAGTCCAAGACGCGTCTGGAGGCTTCTGTGTTGACTGAAGATGACGCAGACGTCGAACGTGTACGTGTGGGATGTCTGAACTTTGTGGACTTGGCAGGATCGGAAAGCGCTCGAGCTGTTAGCTCTGGCGGCAAACGACTGACAACTGAGAGTGGCAACATCAACAGAAGCCTGTTGGCTCTCTCGAGGGTTGTGGTGGCACTCGGTAGTGGCAAGACCAACCAGGACCACATCAACTTCCGTGACAGTAAGCTCACCCGTATCTTACAGCCGTCATTAAGTGGTGCTGCACGTGTGCTCTTTGTCTGCTGTGCGTCGCCTGCACCTACTTACATCGAGGATACGCGTAGTACGCTCAAGTTCGCGAGCCGTGCGAAGCGGATCAAGGTGAACGCGTCGGTAAATGAAGTCGTTGACCAACGTTCTCGTGCGTTGATGGAGCTAGCTCGAGAGAATCAGGTCTTATGGCAGCAGTTGGAGGCCTTAGCGTCTGCCAGTCGTGACGAAATGGACGTGATGGAGGAACACGCAGCTCGGCTGCGTATGCGAATTATCTCTCTGGAAGCTGCCGCTGCTGCCCTCGGCTGGACTTCATCCGTAGTGATAGCTGCGGCTTCAGACAAGAGTCGAGAAGACAGACAACCGGAAGTGACAGGCCTGGAAGGAGCAAACTCGCCGACCGACTCGGACATCCAGGGACTGGAATTGGACCCTTCTGACGACGACACGGAGGTGGACAGCCAGCTCGACTCGCCCACGGGATTTCCGCTCCTGATGGCTAATGCTGCATGCTCAACGTGTGAAACTCTTGATGACGCGCTGGAGATCGCCAAGACACGGGAACTGGAGTCTTCACTGCGTATCGAACAGCTTGAGGAAAAAGTTGCTCATCTGCAGCGTCAGTATGAACAAGAGAGCAGCAAGTCTACTGCTACTGAAACCGAAGACTCAGTTGATGCTCAGCAGTGTCTTTTGGACGTCGAGGAGGACGAAGCAGATGAGACCGAGGCGCTCTCGGGCAGCGAAGATGGCGTCAGCAGTATAACGCATGCTACAAGTCTCAGCGTGGCAAGTGCTGCACTCTTGACGATGGTAGTGGACGCTTTGAAGAAACGCAGCCCGTCGGAAGCTCTCGTGATTGTGCTGATTGCATTTATCTGCATGGCAGTCATGATGGCCAGCTTCGCTTGGACCATTGCGGCAGCTACGCTTTGAGACGCGCCGCTGACATTTTTTGTTGACAAGTCATTTACTTTATTTCGTTATTATTAAAAGCGCTACGAGTCATCGGAAGCTCCGAGCCCAATTAACTCACAATTTCAGCACGATGTCGTTCTTTACATGAAATTACTCTGAGCCAGATGATTTTTTTCCTGAGTATAATAAACCTAAACATAATCAATTTGATCTTCATTTGTGTGACGGACCATTCGTGAATCCTCTTCGCAGCACACAAGTCTTTCTTTCTACCGGCGTTGTAAGATGCGGAGTTTTCAGTGCGTTCAACGGGTTGTGGCTCCAGGAAAACCAACTCGACGAGGACTTTTACTGGCGCTGCTTGGGATGGTGACTTTTGCGCTTTGGATGCCGTGGCTTAGCCCTCCATCAAGCAGTCTTTTTCACTTGGAGGAAGAGCCCAAACTGGCTGGGAATAGTGACGTGCATCCTGATGCACTGGTGACGAGTGTCTTGCATCCAGACACCCCTGAACAAGCTCCACTAAACACATTGGTGCCGTTCACTGTTAAGACGACGACACACCAGATGAGCGAGTATGAAGAAATTTTCCCGCAACATGGCAAGAGCGAACCGGGCCAGCATTATCGAGTCGAAAACACTGCAATTCTAGTGGGGCCCGGCAACACAGACAACAACTCAGTGCTGATCGTCTGCGTTCTTAACGACGCGAAATCTTGGGGGCGGAACCGTAACATGGAGGACTTTTTCAAGATTATCGGATCTTTCGATTACACAAAATCGAAAATTTCGATCACTCTGCTCACCTCATCAATGACCGAGTTCAACAAAGCGAAACAGCTCTTCGGTCTCTACATCGAGCACTACCCAAGGTTGTCTGTTATTTTCCGCAACGATCTCTCTCCTGTTGGAATCACTCGCGAGAACCGCCACCAACATTCGCTCCAGGCCAGCCGGCGACGTATGCTCGCTCGATACCGAAACTACGCGCTACTCTCTACGATGGAGTCATGGCACCAGCACGTGGTTTGGGTGGATGCAGACATCACCGGGATTCCCACAGGATTACTGCGGAAAATGGTACAGTCCGATCGAGACATCTTGGAGCCCATGTGCGTACGCAAGATCAGAGGCCAATGGCTTAACTATGATAAAAACGCGTGGGTTGGCCACCGAAAAGTACGAGCTACTGACGACAAGAATTTCGTTCCTGGTCCATTGAACGCTCGATCCTTCCACAACCTTCCGGACAAATCCAAGACATTTGTACCGCTGGATTCAGTAGGAGGGACGATGCTTTACGTGCGTGCTGATATTCATCGGCAAGGCGTGATGTTTCCTGTTCACTACGTCATTGGTAGTGAGTGGGGTCGAGAAGGATATGATGGTATCGAAACCGAAGGCTTATGCTATAGCGCTCATTTTTTGGGTTACAAGTGCTGGGGTATGCCTCATGACGCGATCCAGCATGCCTTGTAGTTGATCATGTATTTCGTTCGTCATGATTCGGTACTTTAATCGTGTTTCAATACTTATCGTTTACCTGCAATCAACCGAAACGTTTTTTTTTAATCCCGGGTAGGAAGAACACTGGATAAAAATAGATAAAGATAATTATTTTTCGACCAACAGTACCGCATCCCAGACTGGCATACTGTCGACAATTTAAGACCAAGCACTACAGCACCACTGTTTCTCAGCCTCAATATATTTTTGCACTACCGGGCTAATTAAATGAAGCAAACTTCTTGTGTGACGTTCAAAATACTAAACCTAGCCGCTATAGCCACGACACCAGATCGTTTCCTTAGGCGTGTTCGACGTACTTGGGTATATCCACGGCTATTGCAGGCAAAGCTAGATATGCGATAATGTAAAATATAAATATTTGTGGATGGGTGCGGAGTCAGTCACATTATAAGACGTACTACTAAGTACTTAGTAGTAGTAAGAAACAAGCCACTAGCTTAGCTGCTAATACTTCACTGGCGCCCCCAGTCGTTGCAGTACTACCGTATTCCGGAAATGTGACTACCGAACCGTAAAATATTTTGTGTTTTCCTTCAGCACGTTGGCATGTTTCTTGGGGATGCAAATAGAAAGCTGGTATTGATCGCTTGTGCTCGTGTTGCGGGTGAGGAGTGGTGGGTGTTTTCGACGAAGTAAAATCGGAAATGACTACTTTGCTAAGCTACCTAGGCCCGGAGAAGCCCGTGTCGACTTCGGTAGCGAGGACGTCTGTCCGTTGCGGTTGGTTGGTGGCAGACTCTGGATAGCGTACATCCCAATTCCTCGTGCTCCGAAAACCAGCTCTCGGCTGTAGCCGACAGATACCCATTTTGTTTGCTGCGTTCTTGGGTTCTGCAAGAAAAAATGCATCTTATTACACAACATCCTGGGCTGCCTCTCGTCGATCAGCTTCGACACCCTTCACGGGTCCTGCCTTACTGCCGTAACCAAGAACGACCGCTTTTTCCCCGCTGTGATAACTTTCTCCTTTTGCCTGCCCTTCCTTTTTATTATAATAATAATGTAACACGAAGTTTATAGCTACAGTACTCTATAAACTAGAGTGACGAAGGACCGTCTAGATATCCGTAACGAATCGTGTTTAGTAGCCCTGTCAATAATGGAAATGGGTTCCGTGTGCGGCATAAGAAGCTACATGTACACGTACTATTAATATGCCAAAGCAAGTTAGTATACAAGATTCGTCACGGATTATGCATTGTATCCAATCAACAGATTTGATCACTTGGCTTTCGCTACACTCACTATAAATTTGACGCACCAACACACAAGATATTCGCCCTCTCTGCCTACTAAACTATGCAACCCTTCCTGTTCGACAAACGACTTGTTGGGAGAGGAAAACAGAATCGTCGATTGGTTCGTCTTGGCTCTTGTTGGTATGTTGACACTCATCATTTGGGCTCCCTGGTTTATCACTTCAACACACAATATCTTTGAGCTGGATAAAGAGCAGCAACCACATTTAAACAGTGTTTTAGCCTCAGAAACACCCGTACCAAGCGTATTGCGCTCAGACGCACCCGTGAAGAGCGTCGTGGATGCATACACCCCCGTGACCAGCGTCTTGCATTAAGACACGCCTGATCTAGCCCCACTCAACTCGATAGTCCCGTCCTCCGTCACTATGTCTAGAAGCACATTCAACGAATACGAGGACGTGTTCCCACAACATGGCAAGACCGAACCAGGCCAGCATTATCGAATTGAAAACACGGCGATTCTGATGCAGCCTGGCAGCAGAGACAAAGACTCCGTTTTGATTCTCTGCGTGTTCAACGACGCGGAATCGTGGAAGCGGAACCGCAATATGGAGGACTTCTTTAAGCTTATCACCCCATTCGAATACCCGAAATCCAAAATCTCGATTACGCTTCTGACTTCATCAATGCCCGAGTTCAACAAAGCGAAGCAGCTCTTTGGTCACTACATCGAGCAATATGCAAGGCTATCCGTCATCTTCCGCAACGATTTCTATTCAGGAGGATTGACACGATTAAATCGACACGAAAACTCCCTTCAAGCCAACCGGCGACGAATGCTCGCTCGGTACCGAAACTTCGCGCTACTATCTACGATGGAGTCATGGCACCAGCACGTGGTGTCAGTGTTGGCAGTGAGTGTTTATACGTCTTTAAAAAAACACGTGTAATAACGCCTCAAAATACAGTTTATACGGTAACTACGGTTTATACGGTCTCAAAAGACACGGTACAGTGTACCAGTGCGCTTACAGACTGTATCTTAGAATCTCGAATAATAGCCCGTTGGGACAAGGCAATGCCTTCAGCATGCCTTAGGTATGCTGAGGTTTTTGCTACTTCAATGCTGTCGAGTCGACAGCTTCGAAAATTCGGCATTGCCAGTGGCAATCTGCTAGTCGGCCGCAGACTGTGCCACAGAACTCACTTTGCAATTAGAGATCCAGAGTCAAGTCGTTCTCGTCAAATCTAAGGCTAAGGTCTAGTCGTCTCAACGGAGACTTAACGGTACACAATACGTATTCTGTAATAACCTCAGTTGTGCGCTTAACCGAAGCGTATGATGTGTGTTTTGTTTTTGCAGAGCAAGCGCACCATGGGTCGACCACCAAGTGCATCTCGGACCCATTTCGTTAAAGTTTCCGGCGTGAAGGCTAATAAGAGTCACTATTTCGTTCGCTGCAAGCACTGTCTCGCTGCCCATGCAGCTCGATCAAAAGCGCGCACGCTTCAAACTCCAACCAGCCGCGAGCCGGATTCCTCTTTGCCAGACACGATGGTTGGGAGAGTCGAGAATTTCAGGAGACACCTTTTGCACTACCATGATATCGTTGAGGAAGATGGTCCATCAGGAATACGACCTTTTCCACCGCCTCCACTAACCATGACCACGCTGCATCAGCGTCGGAAAGGATGATAGCGATCAACAACGCCACACCTCCCTCTCTAACGATGAGTCGCTTTCAACTACGTACCTCCGCATGTATCCCCCCCAGCAACAGCACCAGTTAAAACGCTTTTTGCTGGAGTTTCAAGTGTCACTGGCGTTACCGGACTCCTACATTGAGCATCCCGCGACAAAACGACTCTTTCAGTTTCTGGATCCCCGGTGTATTGGCTCAATACCCTCTCGACGTGTTCTTGGCGGACGTATCTTGGAATTTTTCGCTAGGGAATTCTTGGAGCTAAGTGCTGCCGCGTTACGCAAACTTCAGGAGTCCACTGGAGGGCGTGTTAATTTCCTCAGTGATGTTTGGCAAAATATTGCTAAGACGCATTTGCTTGGTGTGCACCTTTCTCTATTTGGGAAAATATATATTCAGGGCATGCACGGGGTCGGGTCTGAGCATGACGGTGTCGCAATAGCTCGACAAATGGAGGAACTAATTATAAAGATGAATCGGGAGGGGTGGAATATCGGTGCCGTCATAACGGACAACGCTGGGCAGTGCGCTCGAGCGCGTCGGATCTTGGCTCTGCAGTGGCCAAACATTCATTTCGGCAAATGCTTCGCACACGATATCAACAATCTTGTCAAGGCTGTCTTGAGAAAAACCGGTTTTTACGCAGTTGCAGACGAAGCGTCCGCTGCAGTCAAGTCCCTAAACAGCTCGACATCCAAGTGGCTACCACGAGTCAACGAGGTCATTGCTAGCACTTACGAGCTTCGAGGTGACAAGCCTCTTGCATTGCTCACACTTTGCGACACCCGATGGAACTCAATGCAAGGCTGTTTTGCGTCTTTACTTCGTGTCAAGACCGCGTTAAAGCAATTTGTGGTGAGGTACCAGAATTACAAAGACCTCCCACGCGCTGTTCGTGTATTCAGAAATGATACCTTTTGGAGCTCGCTGGAGGATGCTGAATTGACGATACGACCCCTTTGTAATGCTTCATACATTCTTCAGCGCGATGAAAAACTCTAGTGGATGTGGTATTGTGCTACCGTGATATTTTCGACGGGTTCGTCTCAAGCTCGCACGCGGATGAACTAGTTCAGCTTGTGAAAGAACGCTGGCAAGATTGCGAACAGCCGCTATTTATGCTGGCGCGGTTCTTACACCCTTCCCACGTTCATACCGCTAGAGCCCTGCCTCGCACAGCTATTTCATCGGTCACAGCAGCATGCAACTTTGCGGTACTGTATTTCCAGCGTTTTTTTCCGTGTCGCAGTCTGGGTCGACTTCGGGACCAAATGAGCCGGTGGTGTAACCGTGAGCTGTATGTCGAAGATGACGAACAGTTTTCAATCAGTGACTTTGGTGGGGATGCCGCAAGCTACTGGAAGTATGCCAGGGATTTAAGAGCAGGTACAAACCTGCCTGATCTTGCAATTGCTGTGCTGTCAATCGCTGCAAATACAGCGACTTGCGAGCGGTATTTCAGTGAGGTCGGGCGAGTTCATACAGCAACGCGAAATTGCCTCAAACCTGATAAAGCAAACAAGTCTGCAGCAGATCGTTTCCGTGAAGAATCAACCAAGGCTGAATGTCATGATATCGATGATGAGCGTACGGAAGAAGATAGTGAAGGCAACAAATACGATAGCCGCATCATCAAGCCTGACGAGCGTCCTTTTCGAAGCGAAAGTTTGGCTTATGATCCCACAGCATTGGATATGTCAGTAAGTGAAGTTTCAGTTCGCTCCAATGAAACTTCAAGTCGCCATCTCTCCACGAACATCTCTTCGACTGCTCCAACCCATTACGGTGCCCGTACGCCAAGCCGTCCACCCATCCCAAGTTATCCACATAATTGCTTATCGAGCATGCCGGATTCTCTAACAATGAGCGAAGATCTACCTGGTCAGCTGAACCCGAGCCGAAGGTTGAACTTTTCGAGGGCTGGCATCAGATGCAAGACGATGCGGCTTTTGTAGCACCTGTCGATGGAGAGCGAGCCAATCTCAATTCGCCACATTCTCTTGAGTACTCCAGCAATATGTTAGCCAACAATGACATCCTTGCACATTGGCGATGGTTATTTGATAAAATATCAGACACTTTATCAATAGATGGCACCTCTGCGATCGATGGACGTCAAGCTATCGACGGCGCCGTACAAGAATCTCGCATGTTTGGAGAATATGTCGATAATGACCAACCTGACGTAGTGATGGATGGCGAGGATGACTCTATTCGACTCCGTGGACGACCCATTCCACCTTGCAATGATCCACAATTTCCCCAAGAAAAAACACTGGCAGGTATGCGAGGCAAGAAGGCAACCCTGAAAGAATTTTTTTATCTACCGAGCGTGACACCTGCGTAGCTCAAAACCGCCATCGTTTTGAGATGCTGTGCTAGCTGTGCTGACGTTGGCGACTTGGCTATGCGCTTCCACATCCAAGCTTCTCAGTTGGTAAGCCAGTGGCGACTCGAAACAGCATTCCGGGAAGGGTCCACATCTCCATTACATGAGTCTTCGGTTTGTAGGTATTTTCAGGGCTTTGATGATAAACCTCATACAACATGCTATCGAGATAGTTAGCATGCACTCGTTCTTATTGTTGTTTCAGCTAATGAGAAGCACCGTGTTTGCCAAAGAGGATCGGAATTGTGAGCTCTTTTTTTCATGTAGGTGATCACTGCTAGCGCGCCCGGGTTACGCATTCATTAAGTTTGATACGGGGGTGTGTGATCGTCATCGTGCTGTTTTCACGATGAAAGCATCTACCGTTAGTACAGTAAACGAGCAATGCTTAATTAGAAAAGCTAAAGTGTAATAAAACGAATACTTTAAGTATTTAAGTAGGCCTGGCTGACGTTTCCTCAAATGCTGCTTGTAAACTAAGGCTCAATTTGATAAGCAAATGGTCCAAGAAAGTCTGCAACGTCACAATCATCGTAGTACCACCATGGGGGTGGCATCCCACATGCGTAACGACAGCGAGTCATATCCAGAAGAGCACGGCTCCGCAGATGTTCCACGAGAGCTCCAGTGTCAACAGGTAATTGCCCGCCTTGCGGTAGCTCAGTCGAAGAGTTTTGGCTGTCGTTCCATGTCGCAATCATAGAAAAATCATTGATTATACAGGCTTCTGTTCTTTGGCTTCTGCAAGATGGTCGTCCAATTTCTTTGGCATCTCGGTGAAAATGTCAATTAGGTGCAAATTGTGCTTGGTTTGTCAGAAGACGTCGTCTCTGATGTGTCACATGCTCGGTAACGTCTTGACCACATGCCACACGGAACCACGAGCCCATTTCAAACACCATCAGCTCAGTGCTTTAGTCAGTGAAGAATTTCAAGTCCTCGTAACGCGTCCTGCCACAGTGCAGCATCTTAGCGGCCATGTTGACGTCCACCACTTGGCCGGTCACACACCGGCTTGTCATCGACCGTGGCATACACCAGTTCCATAGTCGATGGTATTGCAAAACCTGAGACAATGATATTGGTACTGGACGCTCCTCTATACCAATATAGACTTTGTTTTTCTCGTCATGCGAGTATATTGCTATAATCCATACGCCGCGCGGTCGAGACGATGCTGGTTTCCGCAGAACTTAGCAGAAGCTGCAACGTTGTAAGCATACAACTCACCGCCATCACATCGTGTACGTGGTTCTTGGGTAGCCTTGTGTCGAAAACCGGTCGATCCAAGTAAAAACAATCATCGTTCAGAAACACCAACTTGATACGCTTGGCAATACGTCACTCGTTGGTGGATCTTGACGAAGCATTTGCGTCAAAGACCTTCTCGATGCTCATCATGACCACAGCTCTGCTTCGAAAGCGCCTTTTTCAGCGTATCTACTTAAAGCCCAGCTCGCCAAGGCTGCTCGCTCCTTTCGTCAGAATAATCTGGACACCACAGTCACGCCGATCACCCGTACAGGTCAATGGAGCACCGAAGGACGTCGTCACAGCTCAATATCATTTGCCTGGCCATCATAAAATACTGCAGATCTTGGCCCCCGCGCCGCATGATCAAGGCACCTCTAGCTAACCCATTCTCAATAGAAGTCCCGTGGGTGAGATGAGGAAAAAAACGCCACCTTTATAAAATCAAGTCAAAACGATTCTCGTATTTACGCGCAGCCTCTTCGTAAATACTGTTTATACACCAGTAAAAAGTGTTTTAACAGTATATACGTCACATGTGTCTTTAATCAGACAGTTTTTACCAGCACTGGTGGTGTGGGTGGATGCAGACATCACCGTTATTCCCACTTTAATGTGGCCAATCAGAAGCCGCCAAACGCTGAGTGGGAAAAGAAGCCGTGCATCCTTAGTTATCAATTACACGACTTGACAACCAGTAATTTGCGTACATTATCTAGTACTGGTCTCACTTCTCAAAGCCGCAGATGAGTCCAACGCAACGAAAACGCCAAAAGGGGAGGCCTCGCCTACCTGGTGGCAAGGGCCGCCAAGCACCAACGAACACCATTACGGCGTACACCGCTTCTCACAAGCTGAGGGTACTAGAGTATCTAGACAAGAACGGTAGTATTGCGTCCGCAATTCACAAGTTCTACCCTGATTTACCAGCTAGCAAATTTAATTGCCGCCGTATCCTCATTTATTCATGGCGTCGATCTCTTCACAAGATCGTCGCTGCGTGTACAGTCCCTAAAGAAGCCAAGAAGATGAAGGCACGTTCAAGCTGAAACCTCCAGATCGAGCTCTACTATGTGAGTGGGTTCAAGAGGCATGGGGAGATGTGACCGCCTCGACGATACGCGCCGGATTTCGCCACTGTGGCCTAGTGCAGCATGATGAAGATGTCTTCGACGCACCAAGACGTGTAGAGGCCTTACAAGAGATATTTCAAGCTACGGTACATTCCGATTTGATCGACACTAGTGTAGAGCAGTTTACGCTAGACGACGACTTTGATGATTTTTTTCGTGAGCTTGCTCAAATTTAAATAGACTGTTTGTTCGACGATACCGATAGCCGGGACACGCAATTTCTGGTCTCTGCACTGCAGATTGGGAGTAATGCATAACTAAGGTAATTCGGTACTCAAGTATTTATACAATATGGAAGTGGCCTAATTTAAAATGATGTCAGCCGCTGTAGTATCGCTGTCCTTGTGAGTTTTGACGTGTATAGCGTGACGGCGGAGTTCAGTTTTCTTTTAGACAATAAAGAGCATTGTTTTGCTCTTGAGGGGATCTAAAGTGAGTCGTGTGGAATACTTTTCCTACAGTGCGACGCTTTGACCGACACACTCTCCTTTCTTCTAAAGCAGATTTTTGCAATGATATAACTAATAGCCGTGTTTCGATGTTCCGTTATTTATTGGCGTGCGAAAAGTGCAATTTAACATATGGTTAGCTAGTATCAGTTTTTTTACGCGGTCTCATATGCGATCATAAGTCGGATTGCTGATATTAAATTGACTCATATCAAAGCAACTTTTCAGCGTTTCGATGTCAAGTTCCTATATTTATCGCTTGCTAGAGCTGCAATAGCCCCGCAGAAAACAGTGGTGCTAATCTACATGAAATGTACCCGCATAAAACTCGTACTAGGGTTGGTATTCTATCTAGAAAAGGATGTATGTGATGCAGAATAAAACCATGCATCTTAACAGCAGGAATGTGTCATTTAAGAATATGCAATATAGCAATATAAGCAAAATGCCTCACGAAGTATGTTGTTGCCGTATAGACAGTGCTGGTACGCGCTAATTAACCCTTTCGTGGTCAAACGCGGCCTTTTGCCGCGCTCTACAAAATCCACACCTTGTTTTGTTTGTGCCAATCAGATCTTCGGATTACGGCTTCTGATAGATCCTTTCTGTGCTGACTGGCGAAACTGAGTTGTGAATATCGCGAGAGCGCGTATCTTTTTCGGCCAGCCTAGCGTCATATTTGCGGTTCGGCTGGTAGCCGCATGAAACGCAAGGAAAAAACGTGTTGTAAACAAGGCTAGCAGATCCTAAAACCTATCATAAAAATTTGGCAGAGGCTTCAGCCCCAGAGCCATTAATCGTGCTGGTATCAACTATAGTATTCCTAGGTTAGATGCATGACTTCTCTCTCAGTATTTGTTTTGCTATGCGGACCAGCTTCACCGACGCACAAGACAAACGAATTGTAGCGCTTGCACTCGAGTATGAATCCCAACACAAGCGAGTAGAGTGGAAGGAGGTGGCGCGGGCCATGAGGAGTAAACATTCTGTCCAAGCGTTTGAGAACCGGCTGCGTGCTCTGAAGCGCACGTATGGACGTGATCTATCAAGATTTCCACCGTGTTTTTTCTCCACGTCGACGCCAACATTCTCTCACAAGCAGCGTCTTCGTCTTCTGGAACCGAGCTAAGCTGAAAGCGCTATCCGCGATATCTTCAGCAACGTTTCGGCCGCGGACGTTCGTCAACAAGCGGGAAAGACGGATGAGAACGCAGGTGAGATGCTGCCTGCCGCTATATCAAGCGTGATTCAAATGATTGGAGCTGTGCATCGAGACGACGTCTTTCTTAAAATTGGTGCTGGCCTGGGGAATGTTGCGGCGCAGTTTGCGATTCAGACGATTGCACGCCGATGCTTGGGAATCGAGAAAGGACCGGAGGTTTTTCTTCGAGGTGTTCATTGTTTGCGAGAGCATACACCAAGGCTACTATTACTCCACAAAGTGTTTTTGAGCCAAGGAGACGTTCTTGATACGCCACTTTCGTCGCGTTTACCATTTCAGCGTGCATCAATAGTTTTTCTAAACGATTTCCTGTTTGATGAATTAGCAAAGCTGGCCGTACAAGAGCAGCTGTATATGATGCCGAGAGTACATTTGATCGTTTCTACGTCTCGCTTTTGTCCTCGCCATCGCGATTCCTGCCGAAGAAGATTTTGCTCCAAGTGGAGGCTCGCGAAAATCACGTATGGACGGGGTAGCTGGAAGTCTCCTCCAATCCCAATTTACATGTACACGACTGTCCAGTGACTGGAGATTATAGTGCGTTGATGCTGAGACGGTCATTGAGGCAAGTATCACGGGGACAAGGCAGGCAAGTGGCCGAAGCCGAGCGAGGACGTGGTCTTCTTCATGATGTCGGTCAAGTCTTGTTGTCCAGTGCCTTGCCTTCAACAAGGCACTGGACAACAAGGGCAAGGACAATTTCCTGTCGCACCTAGCCTAGCACGAGAAGAAGGTGTCCTATGGCAGCTCGTACGTGAGCCCGATTTCTGCGAACGTGGGCAACGTGTATGCCAAGCTGCCACCCGCGGGCGTGGACCCCGCGTACACCAAGCGGCTGCCTGCGGCGAGTCGCCGTAGTTGGTCACGTTCGAGCTGGTCATCCGCGGCAGCACCCAGCGCCTGCACTCGCTCGTGCTCAGGAAGGTCAGCACGCACGGGTTCAAGACCGACGACAAGAGCGTCAATGAATGAGTGCCAGTCAAGCAAGGCCTAACGGAGAAGCAAGTCAAGAACCTCAACCAGTTCGAGGCTAACGACAGGGTGGACGCCAGGCCCGCATGACAAGAAGCCCGCGGACTACGACGACACCCCCAGGCCATCTCGGAACCACGCCACGACGATATCATTGGGGAGCGAAATGTCACAGCAGTTGGCATAATACAGAGTATATAGAACAGAGACAACGGCGGCAATAGTTTAATCAAGATATATTCACGTTTACGCAAAATTTTGCCGTGTGACTCTACTCTGTTGGTTCGGTGAGCTCTGCTGAGGTTGTTATCTGCTTTCACTTTGTTGCCCTGGTGACCGGTGCTAATACAGAGTATCTAGAACAGAGACAACGGCGGCAATAGTTTGTTCAAGATATATTCACATTTACTCGAAAATTTGTCGTGCGACCCTAGGGATACAGAGTATCTAGTGTTGTGATTGCTCTTCGCGTGGCAAGCGTGTGCCCTGAGGGGTCATAAGTTGAAGTGGGTCGAATGGAGTTATCTGATTGGCTGATCCCAAATGATTGACATGGTTAATGCCAGGGTCGGGCTTGTGCATATCCAGTCCACATACAAAACTCAAGTGATTTTCGTCGCCAACGCCTATGACGAGTATAGGCGTTGCCGACGAAATGTATCTTTTGTGTATGGATTTACATGTGATTAGGAGGACTACGGAGGAAAGTAGAAAGGAGCTAGCAAAGCAAGACAAGAACAAATAACTCAATAAAACTCACTTTCGGATTTCATTTCTTCTTAGCACGACTGCTACAAGCCTCGAACGCATACTCTCTATTTCTAGAGCAGAGACAGCGACGGCAATAGTTTAATCAAGATATATACACGTTTACTCGAAAATTTGTCGTGCGACTCTAGTCTGTTGGATCGACTCCGACTAGTTGGGTAACGCATTTGCATTGAACCTTGAGCTTGGCCAACGTTGAGGACCGACGCAGATTCCCTTTTTCGTTGAAAGGGCCACTTTGAAGATAGAAGCGGTGAAACGTGTCGCAGCAGGTCCAAGTGCTCTGTGGGCAGTGAATGGAGTTTCAGCGTCACCGTGCACAACTCGGCAAAGGCTCGCGGTGTGAGTTAGACAGTAATCGGTTACCTCAGTCGCGTATCTTCCTTCATAGCGACAGACAACGCACTCGCGCTTTCTCCTGCTCTTATTCTTGTACATTTGCTTTGACGATATCGCCTCACACTGCGCCGACTGAGTCGGTGTCGGGACCTTCGATAAGCCTGTGCTTGGAGGAGTAGCACTGGGGGTGGCTGCTGATTCTGTGGCAACGCTGCTGCCGAACGGCATTTGTTTGTCACTGGGCGCTTCTCGCCAACGACCCGAAATGAGCTCTGATACTAAATCCGTAGCAAACGTCCTGTGGGAGTCCCGATCTCTTGACGTATCGATTGCCATCCGCCGAGAGTCAAGTACGCGTTGGAACGTGCGATATCCACGAGTGCTAAGGCCAATTTTTTGTGCCAACGTTTGTAGGAATGACTATCAGCGATTGAGAATCTAGCACGTATCTGGTCCAAACGGTCAACACCTTGCATGTGTTGATTGTATTTCAAAATACAGGTGGGGGCAGGAAATGCACAACTTGAAGCTCCAATTCGTCGTGTCACCATAGTGGTGGTAGATGGATCAGCATTGGTGACCATGGGGACAATGTTGCCGTCGCACCATGACGCCGCCAGCATGTTATGTTCGACAGCCACTGACTGCTGATAATCACCCCGAGAGCACTCCTCTTTCTGCAGAACGGTGTGCTTAGGATAATGTTTGCTGCTGCCTCGCACTGCTCCTCGCCCGTACAATCCCTTCAGCTCTAAATCCAGCAGCAGTTGGACGCTTGTGTAGTAGTTATCCATGTTGATAATCCGTCGAGAAAAAAAGTATGGCCGCACCACTTCAAGTACGTCTTTGCGTACTTGTTGGACATCCTCTAGCTCCTCACGGAGCTGTTGCATCTCCTCTTGGCTCACCACGTTCTGCAAACGATCGGCAATATCGCTATTGCTGCAATGCAGACGGTAATTTAAAGCAATCCATGTGGTCGAGCAGCAAACTACATACATTCGAAAGAGATACTTTCCACTAGGCTTCTGTGGATTGAACACAATGAGGTGACGGCCGTGGCGTGACCGGCAAGCAATGCTGGCTTCATCCAATGCAAGGTCACGGCCTACTTCGACGTAGCGGCCTCCGGTACACTTAAGCAAATTCAGCAAGGGTCGGATACGAGCGGCTGGATCTCTATCCACGGGCGACCTCGGTTCAGTGCGAAAGCTAAAACACCGACGAATCAACTTGAACCGACGTAAGCTCATCACGTTTTCCAAACTTGTAGATGCTTCGCCAAAAATCGCGTCTTCAGTCTGGGCTCCTCAATAGTTAGAGTATTCACCTTTGTCCGTGAGCGTCATGTAGAACATGATGCCCAAAAAGACCATGAGCTCGTCCATAGTGATGGGTGTGGTGATCAGAATCTCCTTGACAGCGGCATACCTGTTTGACTCCAGGACTACTTGTTTCCAAACGTAGACGGGAATGTAGGCAAAGAAGCTCAAACTAGCGGAATGGGCAACCAGATGATCATAAGCTGGCAATAATCGCGTCTCAGCAGTACTATCATCTGGATGCTCGTACAGATCAGCCGGTGCTTCCATTTCCGTGTCGGGCTCGAAACGCATATTCTTCACTGCTTCCACCTCTGCAAGACTCACTGGCAAAATCTGCTTGGGATCGTACGACTCGTAGTCTCCTTCGGCCGACGCCACTTCAAGTTCATCAAGTGGTGCGTCCAAATTCAACTCCTCTTCAGTCTCCTTGTCGGTCAAATCTTGCCATGCCGGCTGATTAGGTACACACACTAGAGCTTGATGGCTCTCGATACCCCGTTGCACAGCCGCCACAGTGACGGCTTCCACCGCGTTTCGAAACTGACTATCAAGCCACATCAATTGGAGAATAGCTCCATTTTTTTGGTTTCTTGATACGACGACATACTCGACCAACGATGTAGGCCGTTCCTACACATCTGTATACCTTATCTGTCATCCACGGCTCTTTCGACGCCGAAAAGGCCACCAATTTCTTGACGTAAAGCTGTTCAATCGTTGGTGTACCTAGGGTACGACTGCGGGAAATGCTGGTTCTTCAGGTGTTGGTGCCTTCTTCCGGAGTCGCGATACTTTGATTGGTGCGGCCGATATCCTGCCGACTTGATTCATCAGCTACACGGCGTAGGCGGGCAAGACGCGCTGGGGATCGTCGCCGTCTGCCACCTCCACTGCCCGATCCACCATCTTGGCTACTCACAATGTCCACAATATCAGCGCTGCCAGGCTGTCGTCTTTGTGGAGTGGCAATCTGCCCACGTCGACCACTACCTTCTGTGACTGTAACGCCACCATTGCCTTCACCACAGCTTGCTTCCACATTCACACCACACGTTACCACGCCACAACCATCGTGATCAGCAGCTCGGCGGTGGCCAACACCAGCTCCAGGAGCAGATATTTCAGCGAAAGAGTAGTAACGGCTTGGTCGAGGTCACGAGAAGCTCCGGACTGTACACCTTCAGCACCACCGCCATCGTCATTCATACCAACGCCACCATCTTGTATGGCTACTTGCTCTTCGCAGCCGCGCAATCCCCGGCGCGCACGAAGACCACCTCTAGTTTGGAATTCCTTCCGGCCGCTTGTTGTGGACTTACCACGGTCACTATAAGCACCATCGGCACGACGGGCGTGGTCTCTTGGAGTTACAGATTAAATATTGTGAGTACACATATCAACACAGCGTACTCTGCAGAGCTACTAGTCATACTCATACCACGAGTGAGGGATGCACCACCAATGTTGTTGCGTTCCGAGCGTGCGACTAAGTCCTGTGCGTTGTCAGCTACGCCGCTACTCCAGCTCCATCTCTGCACCATTCGTCGTGGTCGGCATTGAATGCAGTCACTTGAGCAGTGTTAGAAGCATGATCATCTGCATGTTCGTGTCCGCCGACATCTTGTACGACACCAGGGCTACCTACAACAACGGTAATTATATGTTTTGAGGCAACAGCATTGTTGTAAACGCTGGAGAGCAGGTATTACTCACAATGTTGTACGAAGTGCCACAATACTTCTTCTTCCCCAAGCAGGTAATCAACGCCAGCTCTTCCGCTACCAGTACAACCGGGGAGGACATACCGATATCGATCGTCGTGTCCACTTGGAAGCTTGGACGCCCACCCAGCTGCCTTTAGCTCTCTCCACACACCGTTAAAGTCCAGCGTCGATGACAATTTAGTAGCGTCGTCGCTGAGGGCTTGGCCCCGCCGAAGCCGCTGCTTTTTTTTGCAGGTTGATCTTCTGCGAGCGCGCGTTTTCGCGGCATGGGCTCAAGGCGTCAAATCAGGAAATGAACGGCTCTTGTATCTCTTATAATAGTATTATTTATGGAAATGCGAAAACGTTTTGTTTGCAACCTAATCCGGCATCTTATTAGCGTGTGATTTTGTTGAATATAGATTTCTGTGATGGGATGAGTCTCAGCTGCAACTGGCTATCACTGGCTCCGAGAGCAGGCTGCTCGACGCCTCGATCAGAACGATGTATACTGAGGCCAAGATAGATACTCGGCTCGCGAATCTCGTACACATCACATATCGGATATCAATGGTGCGGAAACGCATGGTTCAACGTTAGAAACTTGCAATTTTTGTCCGCTATGATTGGCCGGGCTCCGCCAATCGGTGGAGCACCTTTATTTTGACGAATCAGCGACGTGGCTGCTGTGGCTGCAAAACGCGGAAAATGCCACGTTTCATAAGCAATCTATCGTGTTTTGAAACAGTCTGTTTTGAACGGAGTGCGCATCCCCACCTCAAAACGCGGCATTTTGCCGCGGTTTACAAAAGTTTAGCATAGTCGCCAAGATTTGCGATCACCACCATCGGCCCAATACAAAATCCTATATAAAACATGTGTTATTTTGGCTGACTAGAAATTTGTTTGGGCTGAGTTTCTGTAGGCGATTAAATGGACACTAGGGAGCGAAAGCTCAAAGTAGTTGCATGGGCGTGTACACAATACTGTTATATGTAACGTGTTGCACTCGCACCTCCGCTTGATCCATATTGATGGATGATTTTTAAATGTGAGATCGCGACGACCACACCGTGTTCTCCATATGATCTGCTATAGTAGCATAATGCGGATGGGTCTATGACACTGG